CTATAATTGTAGTATCATCTGGTATATCATTAATTTCTTATTATGAGCTATAATTGTAGTATCATCTGGTATATCATTAATTTCTTATTATGAGCTATAATTGTAGTATCATCTGGTATATCATTAATTTCTTATTATGAGCTATAATTGTAGTATCATCTGGTATATCATTAACTTCTTATTATGAGACTATAATTGTAGTATCATCTGGTATATCATTAACATATAATAAAAACAACAATTCCTTGAGTAGCGCTTCCTGTATTCCATCAGAATATTTGTTATCAATGTTAACTATTGAGATTCTGCTATTTAGTTAACGTTCCAACCAATTAAAGAGTAATCTCTTATTCCCGTATTATATTTTTTTTAACAATAACTCATGATTTATTTAATCAAATGCTACGTAAAATTAACTTTTTTTCTTATTATTAATAACAATTTCACATAAAACTTAAATAACTTGTTGCATAGTTTATCCTTATGAAATGCATTCTGATATTCAGAAAAAAACATAATAATATAAAAACAAAATCCCAAATTCTAGCGTAATTCTAATATTTTTGAAAATATGCTCACTATAGTTATCTTTCATTGTTGTATTTTACCTCTCTTTTTAAATATTGGTGTTATTTTTGCGTTTTTTTAGAGAACCTGGAAATTTTTGTTTTTTGCAATAGAAAAACAGTAGACTCACTTTTTCCCTTTTTTATTGTAACTACCAAAGAAATGTTGTCCAGTCCAACTTCTTTAGTATTCTTTATCTTTTTTTTTTGCATAATAATAATTCTTTCACTTATGGTTGCTTGTTTCACAAATAACTTGTTAAGTTATATTTTGGATTATCAGACCTACATTTATTATCGTAGTGATTAATTTGTGTAATCATTTTTTCTGTTTCATTAAAAAAAAAACCTTTGCTTAGAGCAGTGGTTCCCCAAATTCTTTTAATCTGAGGCTCCCTTGATGTGAATAAAGAAGTTTGAGGCCCCCTAACCTATAACTTTAGCATGGTGATTGAAAAACAATAACCTCTTCTTTCGATATACTGTATCATTTAATTAATTCAACACAAGTTTTATCGGCTTATTGTTTATTTAGAATTAAAATTAATTCAGCATCTTTGTTTTCAGCCCATTTTTGACGCCCCCCTAGAAAAAGCTTCACGGCCCCAAGGGGGCCGCGGCTCTCACTTTGGGAAACACTGGCTTAGAGAATCTGTTATTATAACATCACCAAAAGTCATATGTCGCCAATATACTGTTTTATTTACGATTTATTCAACAATAAATTACTAACGCCGCTTCGCTTACTTTTTGTATCACTCTATGAAAGTAAAATATTATCATCATAAGTTTTCATGATATTTCTAACATAAGTTGATAATTTATTTCTAAACACAGTATACTTATTTCTATCATTATAGCTACCATTAAAATCTTCTATTCAGTAAAAAGTAACCGTTTCAGGTTGCAGGTGCTGTTGATTGGTTACCTTTCCTTTTTTCTGTAGTTCAAAACTTTATGATGGTTAGTCCTGAACCATATAATTATCTGGCCTTACCGCTTAGTCCAGAGTATGATAAAATGTCTGTCGTTTAAGTGAACAAATGAATAAAACAAAAACTAAGTTTCCACAATTCTTTCTACACTTAAACCATATTAAGAATGCTGTGGCCTTCTTAAAGTTTCAGTGGGTAAGTCTTATTATATATACCTTATATACAATCAACTCCTCCCATAATATACGATTTTTCTTAACCACTTCAATAGATACCTTTACTACAAAATAAGTTTCTCAGTCCAGGTATTATAACAAAAATTTTCATTTTTATAAGAACCCTACCTTTCAAAATCTTAGTAGCAGATGGGCCATCTCTTCCCCACGGAGGGTCGCCGATACCCGAAAAGTCCCGAAGTCTTAGAAAGCTGATGGTGAGCCGAATTATGGACGCTTTGTCCAGCTGAGAAGTGATGGCAGAAGGAAGTGGCAACATTTTAGCCAGTTCATAGAACTCGTAGTTCTCCTTGCCTCTCCTGGACCTCGCGGCGTCTCGTGATTTCTCCTTCCGCATCTCAAGGATACTGGATGGAAAGATACAGAAATTATTTGATTCGATGATATTAGTAGTGTGTGGTAATATCTTAGATGATTAATCTTCAAGGTATTAGTTGAAAAAACAACATGAATATTAATAAAATTATTAAAAGAAAGTCAAACATGAAGACGTTGTAGATTGCCACATTCTGTAATACAAAACAAAGAGCCCCCAGTGGTACAGCGGTATGTCTGCGGACTTACAACGCTAAAAACTGGGTTTCGATACCCGTGTTGGGAGAGCACAGATAGCCCATTCTGTAGCTTTGGGCTTAATTACAAACAAATGTTCATATTTTACATATGTTTTATATTCAAAGTCATTATATCTACTTGGAGTAAAGATATGAATTATTAAATGTTCTACTAAGTCAAACGTGATAATACTGTTATCGGTTATTGTTTGTTGTATCCCGGTGGCTCAGGATAAGTCTTAGGACTTGTAAAGTTTGTAACGTTTCAATATTCGTGGTCGGCACAACACATATAACCCACTGTGTAGCTTTACGCTTGACAACAAACAAACATTGCTTGTCTTGCCTTAGCGCAGGGCTGCACATTGAACTCTCTGAGCTATATCCGTCGAAGAAATCTAACCCCAAGTTCTAGCGGTGGGGGGTGGGACATTATTGGTGATATTCCAAACCGTTAATCCAAATAGTAAATAATATACACCAGCTGAAGTACTAGTTCAACGTACGAAGAAGACATAAGGGCCTCTGGGGGAGGCTAGGGGGAAGTAACATAGAGGAGTTAGATCCGAATGCCGACACCCTATGTCACCCTACGAAGGACCATAGAGATACATACCAGGTTGCTTAGAAGATGTCCAGCAGTTCGCCAGTTATGAGCGGACACATACACAGACATTTGTCAAATAATAATTTAGATTATGGTATACCCACAGAGGCTCAGCGGTAAGTCCTTACAGTGCTAAAAACCGAGTTTCGATACCTGTGGTGGGCACAGCACAGATAGCTGCTTTTGAAGCATTGCGCTTAACAACAAACAAAAGATCATCGCATTCGATATTATTCTGTACTGGGCAAGTATTAATAGTAGGGTTATTATTAAGTCAAATGTTGAAAAACATTACATTTCTGGATATTAAGTAAAAATAATGACGTAAAATATGATATTTCAGACAATTGTTTGTATGCTTGTTGTTCAAGCAAAAAACTACATAAGAGGCTTTCTGTGCTCTGTCCACCTCAGGTATCGAAACCCGAATTTTAGCGTTATAAACCCTCGGACTTATCGTTGAACCACCAGGGTGCTTAGGTAATTGAATAGAAATATATATCCTTCGAATTACAATCCCATTTATGGATCTTAGTGAAAAATATAAAGTATTCTACGTATACTATTCCAGACTATTAGGGTTAAAAAAAATCAGTATGATGTACGATATTATGTTTAAAGTTAAGATACTCTTTATAGTATTTCCAGAATTTATGTTTATGAGATAATGTTCATAGTCTTCCCCCCGCACATTATGCTAAGTACGATGTTTAATCATTTGAAGTGGTCGTATATCACATTATTTAACAAAATATTAAATCCAAATTAATGGTCAAAATACGAAACACATTTCAAGTGAAATACATGATTTTATAACATATCTCTTTTCAAGCAAGGACTCAGGTTTAACTCATCTCTTTGTTATGTTTTTCTAGAGGAAAATATAATACATAATCTTCGTAAGCATCTATAAGAACTAAAAACATTATTCCATTCATTTAGATATTTGCCCCCAAATGATTGTTTGTTTGTTTGTAATTAAGCACAAAGCCACACAATAAGCACAAAGCCACACAATGGGCTACCTGTGCTCTGCCCACGACGGGTATCGAAACCCGGATTATAGCGACATACCGCTGTGCCACTATTAGACGATAACACTAAGTTCATTTCTGTTCTATTTCAGTTTTACTATAATTGCTTAAAGGTTATTAAAAATGGCGGCTATTCGTCACGTAGTTGACAAATATATAAATTATCGAATATCTTTCCTCTTTAATTCCATGAGTTGAAACGAGTCATTGCAATAGTTTAACATTCCATTTTATGCCAAGAGTGATTATAAAATGGATAAATGAGTCTATGCAAGAGACAGTTTTGTTTTATCATCATAAGTGAACACGAGGACGGATGAAATTCCATTTTATGCCAAGAGCGATGAATTTATGCTAAATGTCTGAGTTTCATTTCAACGTCATAAGTGAACACGTGGTTTAACAAGCCAATGCCACAATTTTGGATTCCATATCTTAGTCTAAGGAGATCTGTTGATTTTGGATTACACTCAACATATACACAGGTTTTTTGTACTAAGTCATCCAACTTTGTGTTTACTCACAACTTTTAAGTGAAACACATTTCTGTGGCATCAACTCGTTCAACCATGTTATCATCATTCTATGTATTGAAATGACGAAGAAATCATTCAATCACGTGTTCTTCAAGAGCCACCGGTATTTTTTAAATATTAAAATACAAAACATAATACTAATGCTATCGTTAAAACGGTGGAAAAATTATAGTAAAACATGTAACGTGAAAAAAGAATACAAATCGTAAAATTCTTCCTAATACAACTTGGCAACGTTATTTGTTACTTCTGAGGCTTCTATGAACTTATGTTACATGTAAGAAAGTATTACCACACGTGTTATTTTCCATCACGACTTGTAAAATTGTAAAACATGATGATTGTCAAATCTGATTTAAAAGTGATTATTCTTATTTTGAGACAAGAACAACTTTTCATTTGACACACTTTATCGACCACCGACTGGAAACAAGCCAATCTTCATTTATGACAGTCTCCTTTGTGTCAAACAAACAAACAAAAAAGACAACAAAAAATTCGAAGAAATGTATTTTAAGACAGTTATTGTTTCATGGTAAACAGCACTTGTCAAAACTGTCAAAAAAAAAAACACGTCATCACCGAAAGACTGCACCTTGGGAGGTTTTAGAAATAAAGTAAAAAAAGAAAACGAATAAAAAAAAACTTGTGAGGTTCTTATGCTTACACACTGGCAAAACTAGACGTTCAAACCAACGCAGCGTCCGTGAACCACAGTCTCTTACTGTCTAGTTTATAAGTAAAGACCTGTCCTAAAATTTTGTTATTTACCCACAATATGATGTGGCATACCGATGTCAGCCACTGATGGATACAGAGGCCTCTGGAGTCCCGGGTTTCATATCCCACTTTTCCCGTGAAAATCTGAACGCGCCGCCGGAGCCATCACAGCATGTGTTCCGAGGTTCTACCGTAGCGCCCACTTTAGCCACTAGAGGATTCTAGCAAGAATTTCCCGTAATTCATGGATGTTTTCAGCAATTTCATTATGACACCATCCCTCTGCCACATCTCCCAGGAGGTTTCGACTAGCTTTCTGCAAAGAGGAGCCAATAATTTCCTCTATTGGTTACTGGTTACTTTATATCATCTGGACTTTCCGCTCAGACCGTCGACGCTACAGACCCCCCGCTGAAATGGGGTCTTGCTTCTCTGCTTTCAAGTTTTTCATTAGTTTTTCATTTCGTTTCTGCTCAGCAAGCAATTGTCTAAGAATCATATAAATCCTTTGGGGAACAGCCCGGCAATTTTATACGGCAATTCAGATATTTACAGGTTTTTCAAAATCTCGACTCTGATTTCTGGAAATGGCTTTATCATGGGATTAGGTGAGCCGTAGCGACGACAGGAACAATACTCTATAGTGTACGTTGATTCTGACCAAAGGTTTGCTTCTCTAACATAGTCAGGGAGATTTTGTAGGCGTCCCCAAGCCATAACTGCAATAGACTCTTCTTTTCTCCAAAGGTCCCTTGATACCGCAGACTTACGGAAGCCAGCCATAAGTGTAAACGAACAATAGAACGGCTGTGATAAACAAAACCATCCATAACCGAAAAAACCATCAAAAAGCAGCAGACAGAGCTTCAAGTTTCAAATCAACCGTAACTTTTTTTAACCTCAACAGAAACTATATCCAAGGGTGTTTTATAGGGCTTGTTTTAAGAGGTCTGACTTTCTGACTTATTCAATACCTTGGCAATAAAAATGTTCGTTTTTCAAACCAGTTTATATAAGTGGCAAATGTTACTAGAATACAAAGACCTAAACTGTTCAGAACACAACTGTTTTATTATTTCTGATATAATAGGAACGAACGAATAAGACTGAAGAAGTTTGAATAAAACAGTATAATTTAACAAAGAGATATGACAATAACTGATAATCAAAGACCCATAAAATGTACAGAAGTGTCCAAAATGTGGTAATTAGGTTGAAAGGTATTGATAAACCCAACCAACCTTTCGTGCTTTAAAAAGATGAAAAAAATGTGGTAATTAGGTTGAAAGGTATTGATAAACCCAACCAACCT